AGAATTGAAGTCTTGATCGATTCATTTAGATCAACATTGTTATTCCTATCTTAGGCCACTGTTTGGAATTTATATGGTATTAAATAAGCGTTATGACGCCTTTTGTTTTGCGTGTTTACTCCTTTTGGTTCGCGTTATAACGCCTTTTTATTCGCGTTATAACGCCTTTATTCACGTTATTACGCCTTTTGATTCGCGTTATAACGCCTTTATTTGCGTATGTATGCCTTTTGATTCGCGTTAGTACGCCTTTATTTGCGTTAGTACGCCTTTTGATTCGCGTAATTACGCCTTTGAATTTGCGTTATAACGCGAATAAAGGCGTTATAACGCCTTTTGATTCGCGTTATAACGCTTTTATTCGCGTTATCACGCCTTTTGATTTGCGTTATAACGCCTTTATTCGCGTTAGTACGCCCTTTGATTCGCGTAATTACGCCTTTGGATTCGCGTTATAATGCGAATAAAGGTTTACAACGCCTTTTAATTCGCATTATTACGCCTTTTGATTCGCGTAATTACAAAGGTATACTAACGCGAATCAAAAGGCGTAATATAACGCGAATAAAGGCGTTATAACGCGAGCATAAAGGCGTAATAACACGAACCAAAAGGCATAATAACGCAAAACGAAAGGTGTTATAACGTTAAATTGATACCATATAAATTCCAAACAGTGGCCTTGTGATTTAAGATGGGAGAGCAATGTTGATTTAAATGAATTGATCAAGATGTTCGTTTTATTTTCAATTCTGTACGGAAACGTCCTTAGGCCACAGTCTGATTTTTTAAATCTTTTATTAGGAAATGCTTTCGTGAGATGAGAGGTTACTATCACCCAACTATAAATATTTTTCGATAAAGACAAAGAAGACAATTATCTCCTATAATTGTAACTTAACAGAAACACTTTTACCACTCTAAGCATACCTATCAATAATTAGAGATACTTTCACCCTAATGTGACTTACGTATACCTTTCGTTTTTCCAAATCTTGTTACCTATAGCCAATTACCTATAGCGTAATTAGGAACGATATTCACATAATTAAAAGATACTACAGGTTATTAAGTAATTATACAGGACACATCCGTAGATAATTGAACATATGACGCATATATAAAATAAGATTAGATATAAGAAAAAATAGAAATTCATTTACTATAGTGACATGTGTAAAATCAATGATGTGAATTCAGAGTAACTGTATTGACATATAACCCAATTGACCTTTAAGTCTCCAAGTCACCTTATATTGACAAAAATCAAAGAGTCTTCATTAGTTTATTACATTAACTGCGCAAATGGAATGATAGCTATTGTGAATGTATATTATATTATTCTATACGAGTTTATATCTTGAGCAATAAATTCAGATTAATATTGTTCTTCCTTTTTCACGTTACTAGGCCATTTGATAAGTATAAATATGGTATAAAATTGGGATTATAATGCGTTTTAATTTGCTTTATTACGCCTTTTGGTTCGCGTTACTTTGCCTTTATTCGCGTTACTACGCCTTTTGATTTGCGTTATTACGCCTTTTGTTTCGCGTTACTCGCCTTTATTCGCGTTACTACGCCTTTTGATTTGCGTTATAACGCCTTTATTCGCGTTATTACGCCTTTTGATTTGCGTAATTACGCCTTTTGATTCGCGTTATAACGCCTTTATTCGCGTTATAACGCCTTTGCATTTTTATTTTTTTTATTTTATTTGACACTATTAGGCTTTCGTAGGAAATTATTTCCATATAAATAATTTATATTATTATTATCGAGGGAGAAAAAATAGCAGGCGCATATACATGTAGTCCCTTACCAGTGCCAGTCTAATACCGTTTTTTTATTCGTTTGACAAAATCACGAGCAGTGGTAGATTATTATTATAAACGTCAAGATTGTCCAATGAAAAGCGACGTTACAAACGTATTTATTTATGTTTATATGAAATATTGTAGTCCTCAAAGCAGACAAGTTGGTAGGTTAGAAGGTGATGAGTAACACGTTATAAAGGGAGGAATATCCATTGAACAGTGTACAGTGAACATGTATTATTTGTTGAGGACATGTTCGATATTATTTACAAATTGGAAGAGAAATTATTCGCATGGAGCTAATATAATGTATAATGTTTGATGTGATGCATTAAACACATGGCAATGCTGGACAGTTTTGTACCCCTCCGTAGACTGATTTTTATTTTATTTGTTAAAAAGTGCGATTTGTGGCCGGAAACTGATCGGAAACCAGTAACTGTTTATTATTTGATTTCTTATTAAATATACTCAGGCCCGCTTCGCGTCTCCGGCCTTTGACTTCCCCATACTGAATCATCACATAGATACGCCACTCGAGGATTTCGCATTGTATTGTACAGGTCGTTTATGGTTTGCGTACCTCTAAGAAGAGACTGCACGTTGTAGATATTACACTTATGATATACTTATTATTCTATATATTTGTAGAAGCAAAACAACTAATGTTTATTTTGACTATAATTTTCTATTTATTAAAGAGATACACAGTCTGTTTTGTTAACATCTAAATAATGAAGTTCAAATAGTTTTAAGGATGGAAACCAGTCGGCTATGAACGAAGCCATCCGATTATTTGGTTCTCAAACTTAAAAGCGCTGCGCATTTTGCACACGGCAAAGCTGGGGCAAAGTTTGAATTTATCGAAAGATTTTGTCAATGGAGAGAAACGGCGATAATCTTGATGTTTATTTCGGCTGTTGCGTTGTTTATATTATCGTTGAAGTTTAAAATTGACCATCATCGTGAAGAATTATATCTTCTGTTTCGATGGACCAAAGGATTATGTGAAAATATTGGAAATGGAATAAAATACATGGTGATTATGACGGTAGGGGAGCGGATTTTTTCCGGCGAACATTTTTATCTTGTGTATTATCATAGATGTTGAAATATGATTTTTTTTCAAAACGGCTTATATTAAGTTTTTTGATATATATGATCAGTACATGTGCTGGGATTGGCAAATATGCATTTTATTTGGATTTTAAAGGCGTTTTGAGCTCCAAACCCCAAGGGTCTGTGTGTTTAGAATGTAATGCAGATATAACTTTAATCAAGGGTCAAGATGTATAGTCTAGGGCTTATTAAATATTTTAGATACAGATGTTTTTGTATGAGAGACGCAAGCTTAGTATTTGAAAGTGTCCATTGTTTAATTTGAATTTAATGCAGAATTATCTTTGACATGGTGTTTAAGCGAGGGCTTATTTAAAGTTTTAGATACAGATGTGTTTTTGTATGACAGACGTAAGCTTAATATTTGGAATTGTAATTTGTTTGATTTGAATTTAATGCAGAATTATCTTTGACCAAAGGTATATTTGTATAGCTTATTAATTTTTTAGATTTTTTTTAGTTTTGTATGACTGACGCAAGCTTAGCATTAGAAATTATCAATTGTTTGATTAGAATTTAATGCAGAATTTACTTTGACCAAGGGTCAAGATGTATAGCCGAAGGCTTATCAAACGTTTTAGATACAGATGTTGTGGTTTAACAGAACCAAGCTTAACGCTGGAAATTGTGAGTTATTTGATTAGAATTGATACAGAATTAACTTTGACCGGGGGTCAAGTTGTATAGATTTCGAGGAGTCGAGGATTCCAGTGCTATGTATTCGTTTGTTTGTGTATTTGTATGAAGAAAGTTTTGTCTTTTCTTGTAATTCTAAGAAACGTCATAGTTTGAAAGTTATTTTCTGTTTGTTTTCTAGACATTGAGTTGTCTGTTTTTGATTTCCAGGTTATGTTTGTTTATTAACAAACTAAAATACAGAAAGAGATATACAATACTTCTATTTTTATGTTATAAGACATTATCATTTTACTATAAACTTACATATGGAGGGCATACATTTAATGAATGTACGTTTTAGGCTTCTAAGTCCAATATAAGAATTAATGGATTAGTTTCATAGGTTAATATTTGTACAACAAATCATGTCAGGACACTTACAAAAGGTCTTGAGACTTGGTTTCCTACTACGCCCCCCTCCCACGTTGGAGTATGGTTGCGTAGCCGACTCTCAGCATACTGACTGGGGAAGTATATTTATAATTGTATGCTTTCCATGTTAAAATGCAAATAATTAATAGCCGAAACACATTTAAATTATCAAAATATATAGTGTGGTATAGCAAATAATATAAGTTGAAATGTGTTAATATTATGTTTTGCATTCATTGCAAATGTGTGAAATATATCCGGTAATGCAATTAACAAAAATGAATTTTCGTTGGCTAAGAAAATACTGAGATTATTTCTCTCTGATTCAAATCTTAAATTTTGTTAATTACAGTACATTAAATAGAGATTTAAGCTTATTTATTTTACACAAGTCTTTGTACATGAACTGCAACGGGGGTTAGGTCTAGACAAGACAAGCTTGAATTTATTTATAAGGGAGTGGCACTAGGGCAAGATCTCCGTCTTTGTTTTTTCTCGATATTGAAACCATGCGAAGGCCTTCATCCTATTTCAGTGTTGGTGTTTATTCTGTCCCAGACTAAAGGTCTTATATGATAAATGATTTATTTTCGTTTAAGCAAAACGAATTAGAAAATAAATGTTTTTATTGCATTTTAAAAGTTATAGATGTATGGTTAAATTAGTTTATAGTTTAGTGTCATAGTTTAGCACGGATTGCTCACTGAACTTGAAGTGTATATGTTATTGACAGGCGGATAGATACGCCACTCGAGGACTTTGCATTGTACTGTACATGTTGTTTTGCCCACCCACCCATCCCTTTAATTGTAGTATTTATTTATTTAAGTACATCAAATTAAGCCTTATTTTATAAAATATAACTGTAGTCAGTGAATTAAGCACGTTTTTAACTTTACTGTCAGTAAGGTTTTGGATGTTGTTATCCGTAGATACCGACATGTTAAACATCAATTTTACAGGTTGTGAGCTGCTAGTTCAGAGAATAATGAACTTCTTACATAATAACTTCTTACAACCGCCTCCTCCCTTTCGACCTCCACTTTTCGAAACTCGCTCAGTTTGGGCTTGCATTTTTACATTTATTTTATCATTACTGTAATATTTCCTATCTGTATGTGGCGGAAGTTTTCGTCCAGATATGGGGATATCAATTTGTTATCAACTACCTGTTTTTTCATGGCATAATAAATATTGCCCATTTTCACTACACAAACTGTATTTGTTTTGCTTTAACGGCTTATCGGCTAACAGATGCACATAAAAAGTTTATTTAAATAACCTAGATTTCTATTGGTCGATACAGATAAGGACATGATAACCTTTAAAATACTTAAAATCGTGTCTATGGTTAAAACGATCATTATCCGATCCGAGAGAAAGTGTCATGAGAAAAAGGTTTTTATAACACTGATTTATAAATAAGTTGTAAAGATGGGTACACATATTGTGCGATAAGGACTACTTAGGAAATAACTAAGATCATAGAGGAGGTCGTGAAATGAGTTATTTGTTACTGTAGTTTAAATCCTATATTAGGACATTTCAACGGACAAAAGAACGTCGGGAATCAGGTAAAATTACATTATCTTATTGCCTTTATACAATATATATTACATACTGTTTTTGCCTTCGCCGTCTGTATGTCCGTCTGTCCGCATTAAGCTTCTCCAGCTTCACAGGTAAAAGGATCGATCATTACCAGTATCGACGGTACGTTCTTCTTCGCTGCTCAAAATGGCCTTCAATGAAAATTCACAGGAGTTATCAGTACGAGACCTTATTGTGTATATCGCCGGTATGATCCGCTTCGTTGCACAAAAATGATCGACAGAGGTATCAATTGAGAGCTTGCCAGGCTTTCACAGGTCAACTTAATGGGGGATTTCAACCGATCGATCTGTTCAACCACTGGTTGTGCATGTCATAATAATGTTGATATTTCAATGACCCTTCGTAGGAGTGATCAGTACAATAGAGAGAAACAGAATCCCCGAAGAATGCCCAACACGGCAAAATTGAAAATGTTGCAGGCACGGTTTGATTGTGCCTAATCGTGAACGGTACTGTAAAGTGCAAACTTCCGTCCACGCCCCCTGGCACCGGCTTAAGCAGAATTCAACATTTAACATGAACTAGTACAATTTGAAATTTTGAAACATCCGCAGATGTATTCATATGGCGGTCATCATGGAATGCTCAATGTGACACGTTAGTGCCATTCCATGAAAAGCGGCGTATGGTCCCCAAGTAAAAAAGTGCGTGCGCCCCCTAAACGAGAAAACAATGGGTGGAACTAAATAAAATGGAATTTTGAAAGGGGATCTGAGGTTGTGAAGCCTGCATATCACAGATAAGACGTCAAAAGACAATTTAAAAAGCAGGCAACATATCCTAAGGGTTACTACACAGTATTCAAGTAGGAAAAAAATATGATAAACAAGATCAACAAGGAAAGGCGGCGTTCAATGAACCACCCAAGTTGAAAAAGGCCAAATAGAAGAAACTAAAAATGCCACACAACATGCAATCAAAACAATAAGGTCGTGGCGAACGACCTTCAAGGATCGTAAATATAACATCTTTGATTAAATGTACGGGGAGACTTTTTACAGCCGCCACACGGCACAAATAACACTGATGTTACCATAAAATAAGAGAAACAGAATCCCTAATGAAAGCCCAACACGGCAAAATTGAAAATGTTGCAGGCTCGGTTTGATTGAGTCTGTTCATGGACGGTACTGTAAAGTGCAAACTACCGTTCACGCCCCTAGCACCGGCTTAAGCAGAATTCAACATTTAAACATGAAATGGTAAAGTTTTTAATTTAGAAACATTCGCAGATGTGTTCATACGGAGGTTATCATGGTACCTTCAATGTGACACTTCCATGTCATTCCATGAAAAGCGGAGTATGGTCTTCAAGTAATAGAAAGCGTGTGCCCTCAACGAGGAAACAATGGGCGGAACTTTATAAAATGGAATTTTGAAAGGGGATCAGAGGTTATGAAGCCTGCATATCACAGATAAGACGTCAAAAGACAAAGTTAAAAAGCAGGCAACGTATCCTAAGGGTGATTCAACATAATTCATGTAGGAATATTGGAACCACCCAAATAGAATATGCCAGAAAGTTAAAACGAAAAATACCACAGCCATTATTGTCGTGCTGAACGATCTTTAAGGATCGGAAATATAACATCTCTGATTTAATGTACGGGGCGACTTACATGTACATTGTATTTACAGTATATGTTTATCGTATTTAGATATTTATATACCCGACTTTATATATCAGAACAACATATGTTCACATAAAACTATAAAAATAACATTTTGAAGGTCGTTTTAATTAAATAGAGATTCCTTAGAAGAATGAAAAACTTCAATGATGAATTTCAGATGTTGATGATTTTAAAATTTGCGAAACAACAATTCATTATCGGAAAAAAAAGCATCCATAATATGTCCGAAACATTTGGTAATGGCAATACCTGTAGCAACATACACTTTTTATATTATTTATACATTTGGAAAAATCATTTTAATACATGCATTTATGTGGGAAAAAACATGTTATAAAAATTATGTATAATAATTAAGTTGTTTATCAAGATATATTTTTTGTAGTATCAGCGAACGTTTCTATACTATGAAGGGTTAAAACGTTTGCATTTTTGGGAATATCTGAAAAACATGAACATCTTTTAGAAAGTATTTGTCTATAAATACAGTTCCAATATTACAAGGTTCAAAAATCATTTCTGAACTCTTCATTGTCATTGCATATTCTATTTGAAGGCTGTATATTTAGTTTAACGTTTTATTAAATATTAAGCAAGCTATGTACATCAACATGATATTGTGTAGCTACTTTTTATTAACAATATTTCGTTTACATAATTATTTTTGCATCTCCCTATAATACTCGTATATTTGCTAATATCAAATTTCAACAGTCGTGGACACTTATTTTTACGCCCGAGCCTGAAATAATTGTGCGCACATGTTCATCCGTAAACTTAAACTCAAAAACAACCTTTCAAAAGAGTAAATATGAGTTATAATTAAAGTTTAAAAGCAGATCTAAATATATCATGTATATGCGACCAACGTTTAAATGATAAAAAATTTAATGTTATATGGTGTTATAACGAAAATGTTTAAAGTGTTTTTTTTTGTATGTTTCTTGCTCCAGTGTTTATAAAAGCGCAAAAATTTTGAAATACAATTTAATAAATTAGATCAATTACACCAGAGACACAATATTCATTAAGTTCTTAGCATCCGGTAAATACTGATCTAGTTACGTTTGATGAGTAAATTCATTATTATCTTAATTTAAAAAAGATTGTTGACAATTTGATAGACTGTTGGCGTGAACAGAATTTAGAATCTAGATAATACACTTGGTTTAAACGTTATCCAGTCAACAAAAGCTGTTAAGACATGTTTTTTTTTCATCTCGAGCGACATATTTTAAATCGGGGCACTTAATTTTCCCGGGTTTATTTTCGGTCATTCCTTTTGGGGTATAAACTTAAACGGGTAAATTTAAGGCGGTAAACCTAGGGGAAAATTTAATAATTCGCTTTTTAAAAAGATTTTTGAGTATTGTAAAAAAATAAAAAATCGTACAGCGTTTTTACACAACAGAAAAATCAAATGAAAAAAGTCATATTTCTTTTTTCTATTGACGATAAATTATTTTTAGAGACATTGTTACTGCAAATTCGCGGTGACACAATTTCATATGCCACATTTAAAAAACGACAAGACAATATCAATGAGAGAACACTCATTAAAGACATTGAAGTTTAACAGCAATTTACTAATATAGAAAATGAAAATGACTTGTTAAATAAGCAATAAGAACTGCAATATATTAGGAATATAAAAAAGTTAGAGAGTTTTGTGATAAAATCGTGAGCAAAATTGGTATTAGAGGGAGAAAAACCAACCAGGCACTTTTGTAATCTAGAAAATAGACATTTCATTTAAAAAGATATGGCAACCTATTTTAACTTACGGGTGAGGTTATTAATAATCAAAAGCTATGTTTTCGGAACTATGAACCATTATAAGTCCTTATACAGTTGTTTAGGCAGTAGCAGATAGCTAAGGAGATCGGCACGGCTTATGTCTTTAATAATTGTATTCAGAATATCAAAAAGATACCTTTAAGTAGTCAAAATAATTCCCTTTTAAAACAATCCAACAAGGATATAAATTTAAGCATTTATAATACAAAGCTTGTCCTGGTTTGTCACCTTAAAAGTGTGTATATATATATTATAAAATTACTGCTTAGAGCTTTAACATAAACATAACACTAGTATGGTTCGTTTTGTTTTTCTGGTGCCGTGATTGAGATACAGTCAGAATGAACTGATGATTTGCACTAATCACACTCTACCCACAGCTGTCCCAGACCTAGTGATTCCTCATCATTACTAAATAATACATTGTGTACTCTCTTCATCAGTATATTCATTTCTCAAATTCTTCTTTTTCATTTTAGTCTGTTTAGCAGATTTCTTTTTTTTTCCTAAAAAACATCTGTACTTGTCTTGGCCTTTTTTTTATCCAACTAACGCAGCTATCTTGGATATACTTTCGTTTAGCTTTTCTCTCTCTTTCACTGAACTTTTTACTTCAGTTCTCTCAGTGACATTTTTCATAGCATTGACGCTGGTGATGTTAGCTTGCCAGGTGTATCTGTCAGCGATATTCTATTTTACTTTTGTTGGTTCATCTAGGAGATACACCTACAATTGACTGTGGTACTGTGAAAATTGAAACTTGCTTAGAATTGCTGCTATCACATAACCAAATGGCTGCTAACCCATGTACGGAGGCTGCTTCAGCCAATAGTTCTGGTGATGACACATTATCATTTCTGTCGGTATCCAGATTCTGACTTTCAGTAAAGGTTTATATACTTTCTTTAGATTTCCCAGTTGTAGTCATCACCAATCGTTTATAGACATCAAAACAAGTTGAAAAAGAAATGTCGAACGACACATATGCCGCCCTTTCTAGCCCTAGACTCACATTATTGATTATTTTGTTAAAGAAACTTGCCATAAATGGGTGCATGGAAGTGTTCATTATGGAAAAAAAAAATAATAAAAACTTTGTAAACTTAAGTTTAAAAGGAAACCTTCTTTACTTTAAACCCCTGCCCTTTACCTTTTAACTAGGCCCCGAAAGCAATAAGGGTTTTACTGTTTATCTAAACATTATGAAAAAAAAAGATTTTTATAATTAGCCAAATTGAGTGAAATCTAACCCTTCAAGGGTTGTGACTGATCTTTGACCTCTGACCCCAGAAACAATAGCTATTCTATTATAAAAACCAATATATAAATATGAAGATTTGTGATAATAAATTTTTAAAATAATGCAGCAATCATATACCATTCAAGGGTCTTGACCCTTTAAATTTTACCCAGAAATTTTAAAAAATAGGGGGTCTCTAAATGACCCCTCAATATGTAATATAAGATTTGTATAAATAGTACCAGATAATGGCGGAAACGTTCTGACATTTAAGGCCCTTTGACATTGA